GGTGAAGCTTAATTTAATATCATGGTGAAAAGTGTGTGATGGAGCAGAGTGGTTTACAGAGGCAGCGAGAGACAGGAAAGGGTCAGCATCAGGATACCCCTTTCAAAATCAGACCCCTATGACCCACTTCCTCCAGCTGGGCCACCTCCCAGCAGCCCATTCAGCTGTGAAATCATCTATTGGCTAGGTTCACAATTTGATAGACTGTTGGGAGGTGATGGAAGCTCATAAGTGAGACCCAGTAGAAGGAGTGCGTCTAAAATGAGTTTTAAAGCTACTGTATGTGCCAATCACACTAGTAAGTATTTGAAGCCAGGTGAGGTGGTACATGCCAGTAATCCTAGCACTTGGGAGGCTAAAGCAAGAGGATCTCAAATTTGAGACCAGCCTGGGCTACACAGCAAGTTTGAGTTGGGCCTGATATAAGCTGTGAGGCCTTGGTGGCATGCCTTTGGGCACTGTATATTGTCCTGGCACCTCCTCTCTTGCTCTGTCTCTGCTTCCTGACCTCCATGAGGTGAACAGCTCTGTTCTGCAATAGGTTCTCCACCATGATGTGCTGCCTCCCATGGGCCATGGGTATGGGGCCAAGTGATCATGGACTGGAACTTCTGCAACTATGAGCCAAAATAATTTTTCTACCTTGAGTTGTTTTTTTTCAGGTACTTTGTTTCAGAGATGAAAAACTAACACAGGTGCTGTAAAATATTCATAAATCAAAAGTCTTAATATGTCAGTACTGAGTTTCTCATAAAATATAGTGTGAATGCCATTCCAATTTTTAAATCACAGCAGGGTGTGTATATGTGTGAATCCACACATTTTAGAATGGTGATTCTAAATGTAAGAGTTGAAAGTAGTGAAGACAGTACTGAAGAGGAAACTCAGATGTCAGAATGAGTTTTTTTGTTTGTTTTTTGTTTTTGGTGCCGGGGATCAAACTCAGGACCTTGTGTTTTTGAAGCAGGCACGGTGCTACTAAGCTAAATCCCTGGACCCACGAAATGAGTTTTATTTATTTTTTTTAAATTGAGTTTATTGGTACATTTTAGGGATACAGTACAGTTACACTCATTGTTGGGATCTTGTACCTCTACATGACAGGTCTTGGTTCTCATTTTTTCCCCTTACCTCTGCCCTCCCTTCACCCCCCTTCTCCCCTCCCCATTTACAAACACTTTATTTCCATCTTTTCATTTTCTCACATTTTTTTTCTTTTCCCTTATTACCCTTCTCCTACCCATCCCACCTTCGCTACACCTTTAGCCCTTTTCTTCCCATTTCACAATGTCACTTATCTCATTAGGATCTCATGTACTATTACAGTTTATTCACACCAGTGAAACTATTCAATATTTACACATGTGTGACTTTTTATTTCACTTAGCAGTATATCCTCAATATGTATCTGTTTTCCTATGAATGAATCTAATTTCTCATTCTTTATGGCTGAGTAATATTCCATTTTATAGAAAAACCACATCTTCTTTATCCATTCTCCAACTGATGGGCAAATGGGATGTTTCCAAGTTTTAGCTATTACAAAGTGTGCTGCTATAAACATGGGTGCTCATACATCAGTGTGATATGATTCTTTTAGTTCTTTTGGAAAGATACCCAGCAGAGGGATGGCTGGATCAAAAGGAACCTCTAACAAAATGAGTTTTAAAGGTGCAGTAACTAGAACACAGGTGGCACTAGAAGCGCATCCAGGTAACAAAAATGAGCTGTGGGGAAGTGGGTAAACCACCTAAAGAAGAGAAGGCTGTAGTCAAGTATCTTTGATTCAGCTGTCCCACAAAATTCACCAATATGATAGGTTGATTATTTTGTTGCTTCAAAAGAAGTGGATTGCCTTTTAGATTTGAAGTGGGCAAAATCCAAGCAAGGAGAGGAAGCATTATTTATAACCAGGGAGCCTGTGGTTGACTACTGCAACAGGCTTTTAAAGAAACAGTTTTTTCACCTATCACTTTGGGTATGAAAATGAAATATGATAAAGATATAAAGAAAGCAAAAGAGAAAGGAAAAGCTGAAAGTGGAAAAGAGGTTAAGAAGAGCAACAGAGAAAATATAAAGGAAGAAAAGACAAAAAAGGAAAAAGAAAAAAATGGTGAAAAGGAAGAAACTCCAGGAATTTCCCCCAAAAAATGAAACTAAGAAATAATTCAAACTTGAACTACATAATGATCAAGTTTTTCTGGATGGCAGTGAGGTTTATGTATAGATCGATGACCCCAGTTCATATTAAAGCATTTGTCATTGGGTTAATTCTTGTGATTACAGTAATGGCAGCCAACTTCTTCCCACTTTGGCCAACTTGAGAATAGGTGTTTATTACCTCAGTAAGAGCACAGACTATTTTGTAGCCAGCATTCTTCTTGATGTTGCTTGCTGCATTGTTTCTCATCATTTGGCTTATAGCTAGAGGAAGGCACCACTTTTGTTTCTTGCCTAATTTGACTGCTGATGTAGAATTCATTGACTACTTTAGACCTCTGTACACACATGAATACAAAGGACCAAAAGCAAACTTAAAGAAAGACAAAAAACCTGAAACCAAAAAACAGCAGAAGTCTGACAATGAGGAAAAGTCAGACAGTAAAAAAATGGAAGATGAAAAAGGAAAAGTAGGGCCAGAAAATCATGGGACATAGGCTCAGGTGGAGAACAGCATTCAAACTCAGACAGTGACAGGAGGGAAAATAACAGATCCCAACAAAGTAGTGGAAATGGGAATGATTTTGAAATGATCACAAAAGAGGAACTGGAGCAGTGAACAGATGGGGATTCTGAAGAAGAGGAGGAAGAAGACAATGATGGAGAAACACCTAAATCTTCACATGAGAAATCAACCTGACTGAATAATGGGGACTAAATAAGTGCGAGAGGTTGGATTTTCTATGTTGACAGATTATCGCAATGTACATGTGGTATTTGTAACATTCTTTAAGTCCATTCATTGAAAGTATTTGACAACCATGCAGTTTTATTTAGTCCTTCATTTTTTAGAATATTGGTACTATTGTTTTACATTGTTACATTTATCGGTACAGTCTAAAGCCATTAAGTTTTATGCATTTGCTATTTTAACAATAAGTAGGTCTCGTTCTGATAGTTATCCAAGATACATTTTCCACAATGACCTTTAGATTAAGGGCATTTTTGATAGTTATATGGCTTTTTACTGTTTGATTAATCAAAATAAAAAGAATAAACTCTTAACTTCATAGTTTACATAGTCACAATTTCTTTAGGTTGAAATACTGAAACTCATTGTTCTTTTTTTGTTTGTTTGTTTTTGCTGATACCAGGGTTCAAACGCAGGATTTTGCCCTTGCGAGGTAGTAACAGTGCCACTGAGCTAAATCCCCAGCCCCTCTTTGTTCTTGATAGTTATGCTTTTGTTTTTCATTATAAAATTATGGAATTTCATTATAAAATTCTACCAGATATTTCTTAAAGACTCTGAGTTAGCAGGGTTCAAAAACATTTGATGGAAATAAGCTAATAAATAACAGTGCCAGAATATTTTTGGTTTAGCTACAATTCTCCTTTTCAACTTAGGAAATTCAAGTGAATTGTACAATTAATTCAGAGAAGGATGGTCACCTCCAGCAGGGGAGTGAACAGATTGGTTGCCTCTTCTTTCTTCCCCATCTCCTTGTCATAGTGTAAAGTGTACTCTGTACATTATTTACAAGTAAAATGGTTTGTTTTAATTGTTACTTATTTGGACATTTCTCAACACTTAAATTTATAAAATTAAGATCATGTAAATTTATGTTTTTAGAGAAATGGAAGTTTCAATAACCCATGGAATATCTGTAATCTTTCTGCAGCAGCTTCAGTTTTGTGCCAACATTCCATGTATTTGAATATAAGTAAAAATTGATCCCTATCAAATGAAAAAAAAAAAAGGCACAGTAGCTGAATTGTGTCCTTGGCATGAAGATAGTGAGATTGGTCCAGTTGGAGCTGGGGTCCAGGAGCACACTTAGATGCCTCTGGTCCCTGACTGCATTGCCACTGCACATGGTGGGGGATAGAGTGGTCTCCCATGATTGACACTGGAACAGTTAGGTTCAAGTAAGCAAACAAAGGAACCCACTTCTCACACTCAGGAGGGAGTGACAGACCAGGGAAAGTGGGAGGTGGTGGGTGCCATATGCTTGAAGAATTTGGAAACAGTACCATGGAAAGTTAGGAGGTGATGGCCAGAGAATAAGGTAACAGAAGCAAGTTTTTGGTAAAGGAAAATTGCAGATCATGAGCAGAGGAAGGTGGAGGAAAAGAGGCAAGAGTGAGTTAGGCTGTGGCTATCGGAGATCATTTATTTGTTCACTGGTTTAATGTGTTGTTGTGCACCAGCTGTGTGAAAGAACATAAATGAAAGAAATAAAGGTTCCTGCCTTTACTTAGCTTTTGTTCGAGAAGGGGCGGGCAGAGGATTGAACATGGAAACATAAATGTAGGTGAGTTGGAAGAAAAGGAGAATCCAGTTCAGGCGATGGGAAAGGACAGTCTTCGAGGAAGAGGAAGCCAGCAAATGCAATGTTTCTGAGGCTGTGGGTGATTTATGTTTTCAGGTGCCACCTGGACACTAAAGTCCTATGGAGCAAAACTCTGCAGCAGCCTCCAGGGGGTGAGGTCTGGACACCTGGATAGCTGTGCAATCTGTTGTTACCTGGCTGATGTGATAAATGTGCCACTCTTCTAGCCAGAGAGCAATTCCTAAAGCAGAGTGACTACCAGGAAAACATATACCTTGACTCTATTTGTGTTGACCCCAGGAGTGCTTCATTGGCTTATTACACATTTGGCTCATGTATATATTGTCTTTTCCTTAATTATTTTTAACAACTGTTAATGTGTCTCATGCTCACATCCACACAAAAATCCTTTTTAATAACCTGCTTTTTAATGCCTACCCTCCCCCTGCATCTCCCTGTGTGTGCTACTCAATTTAACTTTTTTCTCACTTCCAATTTTTTTCAAAGGTCAAGAAGTACAAAACTACTTCGGCTTATTGACTTGGATTTTTCATTGACTTTCTCTCTCTTGGATCTACCACCAGTTAATGAATATGACATGTATATCAGAAACTTTGGGAAGAAAAATACCAAGCAGGTTAGTATGAGATGTATTAACTCAGTGACAAAATGTAAGTAAAGTATCAGTTTGTGCCTTCCTGGGTCTTGTTCCAGAATATATTATTTTTGGTAATAGTCTGTGGAGGCAGTAGTTTTAAGGGAAGTGGCACTCTTCATCACCTGGTGCTCATTATCTGGAGAGATTATATGAATACGAAGTCAGGTTTTCCAGAAGCTATGAGGAGTGTGGAAGGGTGGGGTCCTGTGTAGTGAGTTAACAGATCGTGGGGTAACAGTTCCAACTTTGAGTACAGCTTTATATAGAGTAGTTGTTTTATTTAAAGTCCGAATGTTCAGGTTGGATTTTGTTCTCAGGTTCCAGGTGAGTTTGGAGCAATCATACTTTCTATATGAAATATTTATAACCCAAGAATCTCAGAGTGGGTGATTCTTGTGCTTTCAGTGTGATACCCTGTCCTCTGATTTTCCAGAGCTCTCATTCCTGGTCTCTCTGTGAGCCAGGCTGCTCTGTCTAGTTTAGGCTGCCCTTCTTCCCTCTGCCCCATCTGGTGACACCCTTCCACATCCAAGACCTGTTTTTTTCAGGACCAAGACCCCTTTCCTAGTGACTTATGCTAAATTTTCTCTCCTCTTCCAAAGTTGCTACAATCTATCCCATACAACTTAGTACATCCTAATAGTATTTTCAGTCAATAATTGTGAGATAGTCTAACTTCATGACAAGACTATAAAGTCTTTCTGTTTTTAGGTGCTGAGGATTGAAGCCAGGGCCTTGTGCATGCTAGGCAAGTCCACCATTGAGCTGTATCCCTAGCTTGGTATAAAATTTTGAAGTCAGATATCACATGCTCTGTTTGCCTATGCTCCTGGTAGTGGTTCCATCAATCTTCACATTGTCTGTTCTCCTCAGTAATCTTTGTTAGTAGAAGGAAGGTCACAGCATGGACCCAAGGAAGCTTTCAGTTTTAACCCTAGTCTTGTAGCTGATTCACTTTGACCTTGAGTAGTAGATTATTTAACTTTTTGCTTGTTTTCCTCATCTCACAGGTACTGGTAACAAAACTGTCTTCGCTGAAGTACATACCTTTTTGAAATAGAGAAATTATGTTGGTTTTGCAATGCCAGTGTTTTGTGAGAATAGCTAGGTGACAATGTTTTTAAACTAAAGCTAAATTGTTTGATGGGGCTTTTGAAAACCTTTTGAAAATTAGGCCTGTATTTATCAAATATTTGAGACACAAGCAGTCTCTGTAGGATCATTATTTATATGAAGACATTTATTTTTGACATAAGCAAAAAAGACTGTATTAGCCTTTTACAAAGTATAATTGTTTTTAATACCAAATGTTAATTTTCCATAGCTTTGTTTTTAAGGCATATGTTCAGTATAATGAAGATAATGTTGAAAGAGACATTCAAACTGAAGACATAGAAACCAGGGAAGTGTGGACCCAACATCCCGGAGAAGGAGCCATTGTGTCTGGAGGTGACACCTTGGGTCTTAAATGTCACCTGTCTTTACATTTTTGTTTTATTTTTATTTCCTTTTTTGTTCTTTCCCATTATGTCTTTCTCCACCATGCCCAGCTTTAATTTTCATTTGTCTTTAATTTTCATTTTTAATACCTCTTTGAACTCTAAGATTTGAACAACACAACTACTTTAAAGTCAACTTTGTTAATTTTATGTAATCTATTTTTTAGGTAGTGAAGAAAGAGAAACATCTGATGCTACAGTTGTACCAAAGATTGATACTCCAAGGTTATCTAACTTTCTCCGGAAGGCCTGTCAGGTATACTTATGTTACTTAGGTATACATACAGTCTAGTCTGTATGTAAATACTTAAAGGTTTCAAAATATGTTTAAGCATAGCAACTACTGAAATTGTGAAGAATTTACAGCTTAGATATATTAGAGTCAGTTATTCATTTTCAGGTATTATTTTCTTACAAATTATCAATAATACATTCATTCATAAGCCCTTGTATGCAAAATGACCCTGGGAACTGTATGTCACTGGAAGTATGTTTCTAGGATCTATCATTTAATATTAGTTTCTTATATTTAAAAATAACTAGACTAAAACTGAAACATACTAAGTTCACAAAGTAAGTATAAATATAAGTATTTGAAAATAGTAAATTCATGATTTTAAAAATGGTTGATAGAAACTTTCAAATACACACAAAGCTAAAGGAAATAGTCTGCTGAATCCCCATATACTTTAGTAGTTATCACTTTATGGCCAGTTTGTCTTATCTGACACCTTTCCCACCTCCCCCTAGCCACTCTTTTATGTGATCAATTATTTTGAAATTAATCCCCAATATCATAACTTTTCCTCCATAAGTATTCACTATAAATCTCTAAACAAATTAATAGAAGCATTATTACTAATAATTTATAATATATTCTCTCTTTCTCTCTCTTTTTTTTTTTGGTACTGGGGATTGAACTCGGGATCTTGTGCTTACAAGGCAGGCTGTGGAGCCACTGTGCTAAATCCCCAGCATCTGATATATTAAAATATGAAGTTAATGTTCACATTTCCTCAGTTATCTCAAACATTTTTCTATATAAGCTCAGAATTTAAATATAAAGCAGAAATAAACAGCATAATGTTGTTAAGCCTTGACATGACTTGTATTATGCCTACTTATCAGAGTTAGACTTGTAAAAAGCCTGTTTATCAGAGTTAGCTCTGAAAACCTCATTGTTTTGTCTCAGTGCTATTTTTATATAAGAATCTGTGGTTTAGAAATGTGATTAGACTTCACATAATTTTTCATCCTCAGATTTTGCTTTAGTGTAAGTTTTTAGGAACTAAGAAAAGACACCAGTCGGGTACAATGAAATGGGAAGAGGAAAGATGGGGTGGATAGCAAATGAGATGCAGACAGAGAATGGTCAGTATGGGGCTATCCCTGACTTCACAGTTCTGTATTCATACTATACTCATGTCTTTTTTAACATTATTCCTGTCAGTACTCACTGAGCATGCCCTGCCCACCACATACCATTCCTGTCAGTTCTCACTGGTTTTATCTCATTTGCCTCTCACCATTCCTGTCAGTCTTCAAATCCTCTCCCTTTTCCTTGCAAGCCCTGAGGGGATGAGCCCTTTATTACAATTGTAATGATTTAACACTGTTTTAATTACTTTCTTGCTGCTCGGACAAAATAACCAAGGACCACAAGTTAAAGGAGAAAGCATTCATTTTAGTTCACAGTTTATAGAGGTTTCAGTCCATAGTTGGCTGGCTGTAAAGTAAGGCAGCATGGCAAAGGGGTGGAAGGGAAACAGTACATTGCAGGCAAGAAGGAAACAGCGTGACACCTTCCTTCGTTCTATCTAGGCTACAAGCCTGTTGGTTGGTGCCACCCACACCCAGGGTGAGCCTTCCCATTTGCCACACTCAAAACCATGCTAAAGCAATCAGTGAACTGATCCAGTTATTACACTTTTATAATCCAGCCATCTCCCAAAAACCCCATCTATGAGTGCATGAGGCTTTTAGGGGGACATCTAGTTATAGTATAAGCCATAACAAACACTGACTTTGCCTAAGAGAGAAAGATTGTAGAGGTTATCTGATGTTTATCTGTGGTACTGTGTTCATTTAATAGTGTTTGGTATTCAGCCCTTTCTCTGTGATTGTCAGCAGTATATCTGGTGGGAAAATCTCTCAGCATTTATCTTAATTGATATTTTTTTTTCTGTTAGTTTCTATTATTCAGAGAGGATCATATGTTTTTTAAGTTAGTATAATGCAGTGGAGCCAAGTATTTATTTGTAGAAATGGATAAGATAAAAAGGTGATTTTTTTTCCTGTTTATTGAGTTTATTGGTACATTTTAGGTATACAGTACAGTTACATTCATTACCGGGATCTTGTATCTTTACATGACAGGTCTTGGTTCTCATTTTTTCCCCTTGTCCCTGCCCTCTCTTCACCCCCTTCTCCTCTCCCCGTTTACAAACACATTATTTCCATTTTCTCATATTTTTTGAAAATGTGATTTTTTTAAAAAGATAAGATGACAGATTGTTAACTTACTGTATTTTCTTGACTGATTTTCCAAAAGAATACTCATTTGTGTTTGAAAGGTGATTGCCATTTTGCTTGAAGAGGATCGTTTGGCTGCTGAACCCACCTGCAAGCTCAGGACTCAAGACAACACCTTGTCTATCAGTGACAGTGCCTCCCAGTTGAATACTGGCCTGCCATTCCTTCAGAGTAAGAGGCTTTTCTGAAACATGGCTTTAATTCTAATTATTAGACATTTATTTTGAAACAGTAACTTTAATATTGCATTCAATTATTTTATTTTATTTTATTTTATTTTTTGGTTTTTTGAGACAGGGTCTCACAATGTTATTGAGACTTATCTGGAACTCACTATGTAGCCCAGGCTGGTCTCGAACTCACAGCAATCCTCCTGCCTCAGCCTCCTAAGTGCTGGGATTACTGGTGTGCTGCATTCTATTTTAATGTGATGTGGTTTACTGTATATAAAACAGGGAGACACAGTTTCTTCATAGCTGAAAAGTGAGTGATTAGGTTTTTTTAAAATGTGTGTTAAATTTTTTATTAGAAAATTTTGTAAGTTGATTAGAAAAAGAGTTAGTTTCAAGTAGTCGGATTGTTTAAATGCTAAAAACTGAAGTTGTTCATATCATTTAAAATCCTGTAATCTTTTTCCTTGCAGTTACTCAGCTGCTTTTGATTTCTTGAAATAGAATAGAGGAATTGGAACAGCCTGGAAGTGTTTAGGTCAAAATGGTCGTATTAGTTAGACATATGTGAGGAGGATGCTTCAGGTTTAACATAAATATACTTAGATTTTAAGTTTATCCACGGTTATAGAACAGAAAATGGTAAATGAAGTGTATACTATCAAACATAAAGAATACTTGCATGTAATGATGTAAATTAGTTTAAAAACTGTGTAAGATAGATTTAAGTTTCTTTAGCTAAAAATAATATGCTGGCCTTTGAGAAAAGTGGCTAGCAAGGTAGATTATGGCCATTATGGCACAGGTATATGTAAAAACGTTACAGGAAGGGGTGAGTCCAGAAGTTGCCTTCTCTTTTACAGGTTAGGATGCAGATGTGCTCCTGGGAATGTGTGAAGCTGGAGCACTAGGTGCTGTTTGTAGCATTTCTTCTATCATGTTTAGAGACAGATTAATACATGTTTCTCTGTCCTTTAACATTAACAAAAATACCATTGTTAACTTAAATCTTCACACTTTTAAAAGATATTTTCTTTATCTTAAACGAAAGAGTTGTCCTGTTAGAAAAATAGTAAGCCATTGTGTATGTAGACTTTGATGCACTGACCATACTCCACACCACACACATGAAGAGCAGAAGGGAAGGTGCTCTAATCTCCAGATGATGCAGAGTGGAGTGGCAGCCGATATAAAAAAAAAAGTTAGAAGCCGGGCATGGTGGCACATGCCTGTAATCCCAGCACTCAGGAGACTGAGGCAGGAGGATCACTGTGAGTTTGAGACTAGCCTGGGCTACATAGTGAGTTCCGGGTCAGTCTCAACTACATAGTGAGATCCTGTCTCAAAAAACAAAAACAAACAAACAAACAAATGTTAGTTACACATGCTAGAATCCTTCAAAATTTAATATGTTTGTGCACATGCAAAAGGAGTGTAAGTTTTTCTTGTTGATTATGTTTGTGTTTTAGTAAAATAAATATTGAAATAACAGAAAGAAAATGAGGTTGGGGAAGAGATGGACCTGACAGAGCAAATGGTCTCATTTTTGTGGATTTAGCCCTTGACTCACATAATGTCCTGAATTTGATTGGACATAGTGATATGTCAGACCTCACAGAATCTGCCCATCTCCATCATCATTATTAGAATATGTCACAGCAGGCACATCTGTGATGTTCTGTTCACTCATTCATTCATTCCACATACAGCATCTTCTGTATTCTAGGCACCATGGAATAGGACAGGCAGAAATTTTGTTCTCCTGGAACTTTTATTTTGGTAGGTCAAAAGGTTACAAACTGGCTAAGTAAGTGAAATATGTGATAAGTTAGAAAGGGCTAAGTTCTTAACCAGAAGGAGATGAGAAAGTGGGTTCTGAAGAGATTGGGGAGCTTCCTGTAGAGAGCATGAGGCCTGGCTACCCGTGTCTCATAGAGCCAAGGTGACCCACAGAAGATGAGGTTAGGGTGGGGACAGCAGATCAGAGCCCCTGCTGGCCTTCCAAACATCAGATCTGCTAAAACATAGTGCCTGTGTTCTAAAACTCACACTATGGAAATTTTCCAGTAAAAATCAGAGAACTCATGGGGAAATGGGTTAGGGCTCAGCACCCATAAAACTTTGTTGGTGTCACATAAGAATAGGAAGGCAGTACAAATGGTAGCTTTTGCTCATGTTGGGTGGTTTAGAAGCACACAACTACTGTGGCCCTTTCTTGAGGGGGCTGAAAATTGCTGTGGAGGTAGCCCTGAGTGTGGAAAGAGAGGACATTTGATCCTGGATGTGGAAGGAGAGGGTTGCCCATGCAGTGAGCTAACGGGTGTTTGTGGTGTGTGTGTGGTGGGTGATCCTGTGCAATTTTCTGTTTTCAAGTACCTCCCAACAGTACTGTCTAGTTCATTTTTGACTGTAAAGTTCTTGTGAGACTCTTACTTAATATTTATTTCCTCACTTTTATCTGTGCCTTCTGCTGACTTGTGGGGGCTGTTGGGTGAGGCTCTAAATCTCCATTCACTAGAACCACTCACTAGAACTGAGTCACATCTAGGGGGAAGCTCATTTGTCCCAGCCCTGAAATGCAGCTGCTTGCTATGTGGCACCCTGAAGGCTAAAGAGCTCTGAGGTTCCCAGTAGAGGTGTTCAACCCTGTGCTGAGGCAGAGGGGCTGCTTCTGGCCATTCCCAGTGTTGCCCACCCTGAGGTTCTGCTCCAGCCTGAATCTGGCCACCTGGTCCCTTGGGAGTTGTTGGCAGGCAGGAGGAAGCACTCTGCCCAGGCTGCCCTACACCAAAGCCAATTTCTCTTCAGCAAATTGCAGCATTGGCTTGGACAGAGCACTCAGGTATAGGCTGTGGCCTTTCATCAAAACCCAGATTTTATTATGTTTCAATTTTGGAAGCATCGGGTTTGTCTCTTCATTAACTTGAAATTTATTTGAGTATTCCAACATGTGTTGATTTTATATGGAATTGGAAGATTGATAAATGCAAAAATGTTTTTCTTATCTTCAGATCGGAAAGTATCCTGCTTGCATGCCTCTCAAGTTCAGAGACAGACAGTGGTCTCTGTCCATGATTTACCTGGAAAGGGGTTTGCCCAGCCTCTAGACCACAGATACATCCTCTGTGTGTGGGACATTTGGCAGCCTTCAGGGCCCCAGAAGGTTCTGATATGTGAGTCCAAGGTACATTCCAGGGGAGAACTGTGGGTTTGCTGAGAGGCAAGGAGGTGGGTGGACAGTGGAGGCACAGAGGAGAGAGCACAGGGACAGCTGAAGGCAGCAAAATGTCAAAGGCCAGGGCCTATCTCATGCCTGCCTCAGCTGTGCCAAGACACACAGGTGTGCTTGCTCTGACTCTAGAAATTCTTGGTTCAAAGGGTCAGTTTATACTGAGATTGCATTTGAGAATAGAAAATTAATGTAGTTATGGGCCTAATAAAAATATTGGCCTACCTAGTGTAGCTCTGGAGTCCTAGAAGTATCCTTTACTGGCTTATATTGTTTGGGTCCTGGATTTTGGAGATTTTTGAAAACTGTGTGATTTCTTTGAAAGGTTTAAAATGCACACACACACACACAACTTTGCATGTTTCTGGCTCAGAGTTACTGGCAGATTCCATGGGAGAGCTGCCCTTCGTGTTTCTTCCACTTGATTGGGAAAACATCCTATTTACATGTTCCTTGACCTCAGCACCACTGCTTCTCTCAAAGCCACAAAGAACTTGAACAGGTGCTAGCTTTAGGGGCTTGAAAATAAACCTTTTCCAATACAAGATGTAAATAAAATGACAAAGGATGAAATTTTCATTTGGAGATGAATGGAGGGGATAACGGAATATTTTGTGTACTCAGATGTGTGCCAGTCACCTTGTGTTTGTGATCACAACAATCCTGCAGGGTGGATTTGTTATCCCTCCTTTCCATTTGAGGAAACTGACACCCAGACAAGTTAACAAGTTTGATTTATGTGCAGAAGTCTATGTTCTGCTCACTTCAGCCCACAGCTTGCTGGAGTAGATTTTATGGAGCATCCCTCAGGGTAAAGTGAAAGGTGCCACAGGCTAGTCAGTGAGCTGAGCTTCTGTGAGCACAGCCTTATACACTCCAGTCGTTTGCTCTCTGTTTTTCTTTTTAGGTCACATGTTGCTGCTTTAGCCCTTTTAAAGCATTTCTGCTGTTTGCTGGAACTGTGCATGGTTCTGTTGTTGTGTGGGATTTGAGAGAAGATTCTAGGATACATCCTTATGTGAAGCTGAGCAATTGTTCTTGGACGTTCAGGATGCCCACATTTTCCACTGGTCAGTATCACTGATCTGCTGATCATGTATCTCTAGAAAAACCATGACAGATTTGAAGATGAAATCTCAACTTCATTTGCATTTATTCATTCAGATTATCCAGAGGATAGGACCCAAGCCATGAGCAAAAGAGGCATTTGGCTAAAAAAAAAAAGCAAAGTTCAATGAAGTCACATTCACCCAGTATCCAACAACAATTAGAATTTTGTGTTAAATTTGTGGATTCCAAAAATCCTTTGAGTTTTTATTTATTTATTTATTTATTACTGGGGATTGAACTCAGGTCCTTGTCCTTGTGACTTTGAATTTTAAGTTAGCTTAAGGTATATTGGTATGTGTATGGTCCTCTGGCATAGTTATTAATGCTTGAAGTAGTAAAATCAGTCATTTTGTGGGGGATGGAAAGAGAGAAAAACTGGGCTTCCTGGGGCCCTTAATTTTATTCAGGTGAGCAATTCCACCGTGGGAGACCATTCAAGTAAGTACTGCCTGTGTCTGGGACTTTGTCTGAGTGCTTTGTATACATCTGCTCACTTAACTCTCAGAAGAGCCCCATGTCCCAGGCACTCAGAATCATGGGATATTTAAGGCCAGGCTGACTCATGGGAGGCTGTAATCAAACTGAAATTACCTGACACCATCCATCTTCCTGTGAGCACTGGAATCTCATCGGTTGAAGGCTCAGGTAGAGGTCTCTCTCAGTCACCTTCTTTCCTGTCTCTGTGTCTCTGCTCACACTTGGAGCACACCCATACCACACTACGCAGTACTATGCCAATACATTGTATCCATCACTCTTTTCCACTGACCATTAATCTGTTTTCTGTCCCCGTTTTTGTACTTTTTCCAGATGTTTTAGGCATGGAATTGTACAGTAGCCTAATGCATTTGGGATTCTTTTACTACTCACATTGCAGAAGTCTACATCTCCTCTGCTGAATGTTGTTCTGTTGCACTCATGTTACTCAGTTCCCCAGTAGATGGACGGTTGCTTAATTCCAGTTGTTTGTGATTATGGATAGTTTGTACCTGGCTGCCTGTGTCTGAGTACCTAATCCATTTTGCATTTTCTGCAGAATGTGAGTTTCCATCATTCTACATCCTCATAGTACTTGGTATTATCACATTTTTTTGGAAAAAAAATTCTTTTAGCTTTTGTAGTAATTGTGTGGTGCTATCTCATTTTGGTTTTGACTTTCATTCACTAGTGATATTGAGCATGTTTTCATGTGCTTATTTGCCATCCATATATCTTTGTTGGCACATCTGTTCAGATGTTTTGCCAATTTTTCTATTGGATTGCATTTTTGTTAAGGTTTTTGTTTTGTTTTGTTTTATTTTTGTTTCTGCTGGGATAGAACCTGGGGCCTTATGCATGCTAGATAATTGCTCACCACCAAGTCACATCCAGCTGTCACTTTATCCCCCCCTCCTTTTTGGTTTATTTCTTTTTTAAATTTCTGATTGGGTATTTTTATTTGGTTTGGTTTTGAAAAGATACAGTTGGAGTAAGAATATTGAGTTTTGGTTGTCTTCTGCTACATGCTTGTGTTGGTGGGGGTGGGAAGAATTTTTATCGCTGAAATCCTTTGATTTGTGTCTCAGTAGCTGTGTATGGAGTCTGACTTTTTCTGCTCCTAGACATTCTGTAGATGGATATTCTAGGTTGAAGAGTTGGTGTTAATTGTTGTATTAATGCTCATCTGTAATGGAGAGTGTAGTGGTGGCTGCTGAGTTGGTATGTCGCTTAGCATTGCTTTTTTTTTTTTGTGACACTGGGGGTTGAACTCAGGGCTTTCACAATGAGCTACATCTCCAGCCATTCTTTATTTCTTATTTTGTAGCAGGGTCTCACTAAATCAGCAAGTTGCCTAGGTAGGACTGAATTTGAGCTTCTCCTGCCTCAGCCTCCTGCCTCAGGCTAGTGCTACCCTGAGATGCTCCCTTGTGTCCCTTCCCTTCCCAAACCTCCTAGCTGTGAAGGGACTATGGGACTATGGCCTCAGAGTGAGGTTTTCTTTTCTGAGGTGATTTTTGTCTGAGCTTCCTCAGTCTTTAAGACAATCTTTTGTTTGGTCTATCTTGACCTTTGTCTCCTACTCTTTGACCTGTGGTCAGCAGTGATGGTGGAAGCTATAGGAGAGCACACAAGCTTTGGTGCTTGTTTCTCTTCTCACAGGTATTTGAGGTTTGTGGTTCCTACAGATCATTTATGTGTGGTTTGGTGGGATCTGAGGAGACATTTGGGTCTTTTAGACCCACAGCCCTTTCTGCATTTGTCAATGTTGAGTGTGAGTTGCATATTTGTGGTATATTAATTACATTTGGGTGCTATGGGTTTTAATCTCTAGATGGAATCCTGACATCTGTAAACCACCAGAGTCCTCTTCAAGCTGTAGAACCTATCTCCACATCTGTCTGCAGGAAGCAGAGTTTTGTGCTTTCGCCCTTCTCTACAGAGGAAGGTACAGGATTCTTCCCTCCTCAAAACTTTCGATCACCAGTCATGGGATGTGACTTCTATGTTTAAAGCCACTTCTTTCTTTTCCTTTCTGTTTTCATTAGGAACATCGGGTTTGTCATTCCACATTGCTTCCTTGGATGAGAGTGGGGTTCTCAATGTGTGGGTGAGTAGGGCCCCCTGGGCCCTCAGAAGGGGCACAGGAAAGGATTTGGACAGGGATGCAGTCAGCTAACATGGAGAACCAGAATAAGGCTGGATGTGTTGGTTCTGGGAAGAGGGAATACAGAATTTCACAGAGCAAGTTTAGGACCCCTCCTACAGGCCTCTGAACCTGTGGTGAACAAGGGAACCTGGTGCCAGGTTCTGGGGTGTGATGCGGGTGCATCCTGTCTGGGGAGATCTGGCTGGGCTGAGGCCAGGATTGAGGAGAGAAGAGAGATCAAAAGAAAGGAATTAATTAGATTTAAAACATGAGTCCTAAAGTTAGTGACTGGTCTTTTTTTCTGGAATGATTGTATTTTTAGAACTGAGCTATTCTTTGCTTAAACGATTTCATAATTATAAATGATGTCACTTCATTTTCAATATTCCATTTTTAGGTGGTGGTTGAATTGCCAAAGGCGGATATTGCAGGTTCCATAAGTGATTTAGGTAACTATTAAATAAGAAAATTAATTTTAATATTTATTGAAATGAATAGAGATTAGGGATAACAATGCCTGCTTTGAGAAATGTGTAATTAGCTACCTGAGAAATGAACATGCAGATTGTCTCAGCCTCATTGCGCAGTCTGATAGATGCTGCTCCCCCTGTCACTTCATGTTTTGCTTTGGATGAGCAGGGTGTCTGTGCTTGGCCCGCCTTTCCCAGTGCCCTCAGAGTTGGAGTCCCTGCATCCTGCTCACACCTCGGGTTTCCTCCTTTGTGTTGCTGGCATTTGTCCAGGCATGACTATGCTCTGAATATGAGCACAGTGTGCTCAGGTGTTCTGTCTAGGGGAGAAGATGCGGCTAAGATGGACCCACGAGTGCCGACTTTGCCATCTGTACTGGGTAGAACTTGGCTTCCAGCCCCATTGGGGCTGAGAGACTCTAGTGGCTCGGCCTGTTGCTGCCCATGGTCAGGTGGTCTGCAATTCAGACTCTGCCTTCTCATCACCGCCCCTCCTTTGCTAAGGACAAAAAGTCCTTTACTTTGTTTTTATCCGAGGGTGTCCCTAGGCAGGTCTAGGAAAACATGATGGGAGTTGGTGTAGTCCGCAGCCCTCCCTCGAGTGAGGATGGCTCTGTGTCTGTGGAGCAGTGGCTGTGTGACTAGCAAACCTGGGCTGGATCGTGTCCCTGTTTCCCTGTGAGCCCTTTGGGGCAGGGTGCTGTGTATCCTATGGTGTCTGCTCTGCTATGCATGCTTCATTCACGTCCAGATGTCAGGTTACTCACATAATCGCAGGCTTGAGATTTCCTGGATGCTCTCTTCAGTGTATACCTGCCAGTAATGGTCATAAGACTAGGCTAGAGTCTGTCCTGGATTGGCCCTGCCTGAGTGCTCAGTGCATCTCAAGTGCCCAGGACCCTCAAGAGCTCAATGTGGGCCTGGCTGTGCTGCTGACTCCTAGGTGACATGGTGCTTTTGGGTGGGCACAGATGGGTGAAGGAGCTGGTATCTCTGTCCAGTTACTGAGAATCTGACAAGTATTTGCAGTAAAATGTTTTGTAGTGTATGTGGGATGGTTGTCCAGAAGATGCAGAGAAGTTTGTATTTCCCTGTTTGAAGCTGCTGTTTTAAAGCACTCTTTATCCCCACTACCAACCCTTGGCCCTGAGGAGGGGAGGAAACAATGTCTCTTGAAGCCACAGCTACTGGGTGGCTCCGAGCTCATCATACAGGCCTGAGATGCAGACTGAGCCATGTCTTTCCTTCAGTGTGAAAGTCTCCACACAAGCCAGGTCACAACATGGTGCCAGGGAGACCAGGGCAGGAAAACATGGACTGGATAGCGACTGGAATTTGGTTTATAGAACAGTGGGTCTGACAGGGCAGGGCCAGGTCAGGGAAAGGTGGGGGGTGGCAGGCCTGCCTCACCTGTGGAGGGCAGCTTGAGCTTCCTTGTGTTACGGTGACGGTGGTGACAGCGGCATAGGGAAGGAACCCTTTTCAGCTGCACACTGCTTTAATTTCTATGTAGAGTTAGGCACCTCCTCACCCAGAGTTTGAATTTTAATATATTGAAATCTCTTCCTCCCTTTCCATTAATTTAAAAAAAGAAGGATGACACTAGGACATACTAGAAGGCAAAGCCAGTGGGTGGCCAGCCATCAGAGCTAGGGAAAATGAGGGAAGGAACAGGAGAGTAGTCAGGCCTGTGAATCAGCTCTGGGTCACATGTTTGAGAGGAGAAAGCTAGGAACCTGACAGGGCAGCTGATGAGGCTGGAAGAGCTGGGAGACCCCTGTGCCTATTGGCAAAACCTGGAGCTATCAAAGTCATCTGTAAATGAAAAGGGCTCTGCATGTTCCTGTGTATGGTTGTGGCTGTGAACTTGGGGTATGTTAGGTGCATGTACTGCCCTCTGTGGATGGAGTGCCTCGACCCCACGTCTTTCACCTCGGGCCCTGAGCTGTGAATTCATGATGCTTACCTTAGCCACACATAGCACCTCTCAGGGTTTGTATTTTGGTATTTCTTGACACAGGTATTTAAGTAGTGAATTTAGTTACTCTTCTTGTTGCTGAGACAAAATATCTAACACCCAAACTTAAAGGAGGAAAGGTTTATTTAGCTCACAGTTTGTAGTGGTTTCAGTCTGTAATCAGCTGGCTCCAAGGTGGCATGGCAGAAGGGCTTTGCTGAGGAGTAATAGTTCATGATGGGCAGAAGGTTCCAAAGCAAGCAAGCAAGCAAGCAAGGGACCTTAGCAGCTTTTTTCCTATCCCTTTTATCATCTATCTAGGCTACTAGGATTAGAGCAGTGCCAAACCTGTCTGTGGACTGATTTGGTAATCACCCACTGTTAATCCTAGCACCCTTAATCCTAGCATTGCACCATGAATCAGTCCGCAGTCTAGTTCTAGTCACCTCTGAAAAAGCCCCACCAATGACCACAGGAGGCTTTGGGACATCTAAACACAAGCCATAACAGTGAACAATTTTGATTTCACTCAGTAAGAGGTACTTTTATTCTGCGTATCTGTTTCCAGGCCTCATCCCTGGAGGGAGGATTAAGTTGGTGCACAGTGCTGTGATCCAGCTGGGTGGCAGGTGAGACCCCCTCTGCACCTCCAAAGACCTGCTTCCTGCAGAAGCCACAGAACCCTGGGTGACTGTCAGCACGATAGTGTCAGCGTGCACCATCAAGACACATTTCCTCACTTTTATCTTTGTCATTTAATTTATTTATTAGTAATAAGTCAGTGTAACAAACACATCTTCTTATAGACAACTGATAGTTTTTGATAAAAAAATGCTTCCTATCTTTTCAGTTGATAGTCTTTGACTGCTTTTAATATTGTTTTAATGCAATCTTAAAGTTAAACTTAGATGAAGTTTCAAGAACCAGAAACATTGATAGAAAGTTTTATTTAGAAATGGACCTTTCTGCTTTTATGCATGTAACATAACATGACATACAAATTGTTTTTTTTTTTTTGGTTTTTTGAGACAGGGTCTCACTATGTAGTTGAGACTGACCTGGAACTCACTGTGTAGCTCAGGCTGGTCTCGAACTCACTATGTAGCTCAGGCTGGCCTCGAACTCACAGCGATCCTCCTGCCTCAGTCTCCCGAGTGCTGGGATTACAGGCGTGCGCCACCATGCCCGGCTCATACAAATTCTTAATGTGTGATTATTTGTGCTTTTTTTATGTTCCATATTGACTTGATATTATTCCTTGTCCTTTACCTAGGGCTAACATGTGAATTATTCTTAAACTCAAAAAACAGTCTCTGAGTCTGGTTCCTCCTCCTCACACAGAATACCTCTGGTTTGTGTTAATGAATTCACGTTAGAGATTTTTAAATCAACTTCAGCTGATTTACATATAATTCAAAAAGTGAACCATTTAGTTTTAAAAAGTTATCTAATATATTACAGAGCCCAAGCTACATGGTTTCTGAACCAACCACAGACCCACTGTCCACACAGTTCCCTTGTTTGAGCTTCTTTAGGAATATTTTTATCTGTTATGACTCTTCTTACTCATGCCATATATTGTATTTACTTTATAAATTTCTTCTTGGTGTAAATGTGTAGTCATTGGAGAAGGTATCTGATGTGTCTTCTCCCAGATTGAGTGGTGTCTCCGCTCTGCAGAGGAAGAAGGGTTCTGCAGGAAGATGGGGTGGGTCTCCAGATTAATATGGGCTCAGATATGGAGCCGAGGAGCCCAAGAGGCATGTGGCACCACAGCAGGACCTCGGGGGCACAGAAGAGAAGGCTGAGGACAGTCAGACCCTGACTTCTGACCTGACAGTAGGACTGCTGAAGGAACTGGGTCTTCTCTTCCCTGGAAAGGATGTGTGCTACATGAATGAAGAATGGCATTCAAGCTAAATGTGACTTTTAAGAAGAAATGTCAGGAACAAGGAGGGACTCAAGTTAATGACATAAGCTTCAGAGCTGATGTGTGACAGGCTGGACGTGGGCATTAGGCATAGGCCATTGAAGGCCTTCACCTTGTGCCTGTGGCTGGAGCCCTGGACAGGAAGTGCTGGCCTTGCTGGGGTACAGGAGATGGAACTCCGTGCCCTTTGGCATGAGAGCAATGGGAGAACTCACCTGCAGCCGAGGGAAGCGGAAGCTGGGGAATGTGGGCCTGGCCATTGCAGGCAGGGAGGTGCAGAGTCCCAGACAGTGTGGGCACAGGGATGCTGCCTGGTAGGGAGGAATACTTCACAAGCTGGAGTTCACAGGATTCCCACAAGCAGTCTACAGAGATGTGTTCATGTATAAAGAAACACCTAAAACACAAAGAACTCGAGTGACTGCAATCTAAAACCCTTCAGAAATGAAACTATTATTTGTGAAACAGTCAAGTAGCAGATTAGATACAGCTGAGGAAAGAATTAATGAACAGGATTACCTGCAGCAGTTATCAAGCCCAAACAAGCAGATGAAAAAGGAGATAGGAAACAGTGGTTAAATCAGAGGATGTTGGAGTGGCCTAGACTATATCTTGTAATATGTGCTAGGCCAAGGGAGTGTTCATTGTCTTTACCATCAAGCTTTCACAACAAACCTATGTTCATCTCTTCTTTCTTTTTCAGACTTTCCCATGAAGATAGTGAATTCTGGGGCACCACACAAACCCTGAGCATCAAGTTTCTGCCTTCAGATCCTAGTCACTTTATTGTGGGCACAGACGTGGTGAGTGATATTCTACTGCATTCTATTACTCATCCTGTTCTCTCCCAGAGTTACCCGACACATACTTCTATGAACTTACTGTTGCTTTGCTTATTTTACATTGTTTCAAGAATAACCTCTTTACTACCTAAAACTTCTCTTTGGTCTTTCTTGGTCTTCCTGTCATCACTAGGGTCTTATAAATCATGGCACAAGACAGGATTTGAAAGTCTCTCCCAAATCGTTTAAACCTCAGCAGTGCGGGCTAAGAGCAGTGAAGGTTAATGTGATTGACTTTTCACCATTTGGAGAACCAATATTCTTGGTAAGAAAGTCCTGTTTTTTTGTTGTTGTTTGGTACTAGGGATTGAACTCAGGACCTTGCACTTGTGAAGCAGGCACAACAGCACTAAGATAAATCCCTGGCCCAGAAAGTCCATTTTTTACAACACCAGTTCTTTTTTATTATTTGCTATTTGGGCAGCAGAACACGGTCCATGGGAAAGTCTTGACAGTTATCATTATAGGGCTATAACTTAGTCACATTATTAGGCTTCAGGGATCTAAAATGGAAGAATATGAGATTAATGATAAGAAATGTTAAAATATTAGCTCATGAATTTGACTCTTTTAAGAAATTCTTTGTTCAGTGGCTGATTATTTAGAATTTAACAGACAAATATTAAATGTCAGCCAATTCTGTGGTACCTAATCCAGTCCCAAGAGCCTTCCCATTCCTACATGATGACCATTAACCCTTTCAGGGCATGCCAGTCTTTAAAATTTGTTTCTAGCCAGGGCTACCTACCCATAATGCCAGCACTTGGGAGGCTGAAGCAGGAAGATTGCCTTGAGTTCAAAGCCAGCCTGGGCTATATAGTGAGTTCAAGGCCAGCTTGAAGTACATAGTGAGAACTTGTCTCACACACACACACACACACACACACACACACAAAGTTGTTTCTTTTTGTGTTTCATTTTTACTCCCATTCTTGTTGATTTTCTTTCTTTTTTTTCTTTTTGAATATGTGAAAGATTATTTTTCTCTTTGTTAGCTAAACTTTGGGGTCCGCTTTCAGTACTGGGGGGTCAAACTCAAGACCTGTGCTTGCCAAGCAGGTGCAGTGCCACTGAGCTACACCCCCAGCCCTTAACATTTGGTCTTTTACTAAATCCACTAAGTTTTTTATTTTCTGAAAAGTTTCACTCTAGTAGGAATATATAACCACATTATCAATGCAATTTTTAAAAAGGTGACTTGTTTCCTTCTATAGAGCCAAGCTTCATGACCTGTCCTTGCATTGGGGATGCTCAATTCTATTAAACTGTCTGTGGCTTTGCCACCATGTTGATTTTCAGAACAGGGAGGCCTCTGTGTCAGCGTTGGATAGGTGCTCACCTTCGCAACTCATGAGGCTGGTTTTAATTTACAATTTTATGTCAGAAAAAAACCAAAATTTTGTGTTGTACAAGTTGAAGAAGCAAATGCTTTGGAAACCCCCCCTAGCCACTGAGCTTCAGTTACAGAGAGGGTAATGGTTGTCCTTGTTGCATAGGCTGGCTGCTCAGATGGCAGCCTCCGGCTGCATCAGATGACCTCGGAATGGCCGCTGGCACAGTGGGATGGCAGCACTCGGGGGCACGCCATCACCGGCCTGCAGTGGTCCCCAACACGGCCAGCCATGTTCCTAGTGCAAGATGCTGCATCCACCGTGTATATTTGGGACCTCTTGCAGAGTGACCTGGGCCCTGTGGCTACACAGCCCATCTCCCCAGACAGGTGAGTGAAGTCAGGACAGGTCTGGAGGGCAGATGGTCTGGTCACCTTGCCTTTTCTTGAAATTTTACATTTCATATCAAATTATCCTACTATGAAGGTTTGTAATAGCTGAGAAAGCAATCTCATTGCCTCTTTTCTTTTTTCTTTTTTGGTACCGGGGATTGAACTTGGGTCCTTGTGCTTGCGAGGCAGGCAGTGGAACCACTGAGCTAAATCCCTGGCCCTCTCATTGCCCTTTTGTAAACAGGAAGGTAAAAGTGGCCAGAGCCAGGTGACAGCTTGACAGAATATTAATGATATCCTAATACCACCTGGCAAAAAAAATTACAAATTGAATTTATTTAGTTTAAGTACTAGATATACTGACATTATCTTAATTATTAAAAAATTCATCAGGAGCTGGATGTGATGGCAAATGCCTATAATTCCAGCTACTTAGGAGACTGAGGCAGAAGAATGGCAAGTTCAAGGCCAGTCTTGGCAATTTAGCAAATCTAAAAAAAACAAAAACAAAAAAACAAAAAAACCCCAAATCATAAACAATCCAGACTATGAGTCACATATGAACACATAATGTACCCACAACTCATTGCTTCAGAAAGTCTGTATGTCATTGTTAAACAATACAGTACTGATTGAGTACCAGCTATGCCCAGAGCTGGTCCATGGGAGTGTGTGGGTGATGACTGGGGTGCAGGAGAAGCCAAGAGCATGTCAGAGTTAGATAGAGCACATGCATGGTGAGAATGTCTCAGGCCAGCTCTGGGGTGATCCACACATTCCTTTCCCTGAACTCCTGTGTAAGTGCTTGAGTTAAAGAAGTGATGTTTGTGCTCAATTATCTTTCCTCATCCGTAAAGAACAGAACAGGAAGAAATTAATAGGAAGGCAGGAGTGTATGTTAGATTCAAGCAAGGACTTTCAGCCCCAGACTCAAACATGCCATGGTACCCAAGGTCCTATCTCTTGTGGTCTGAATGCAGGCTGGCAGCCCATCTGGAGGATGCCCAGGAGCTGGCAATGCCTGTGGTAGATGTGGGTTTTCTGCCCTCTTTGCCTGGTTCTATCCACTTTGCCCCTCATCCAGGGACATTCTACCTGGGATGCACACATCTGTTTGAAGTGATGTCTCATCCATGAACACATCATCTATGCCTGACAGTCCTGATGCCAGGGGAACCTTCAAGATTTGTCACCATGGGTGGCCTTCTAGGCTGTGGCAGTTAGACTCGCCCATGTTCCTCAGTGGCTGTGCTTGGTGCTGAGTGGTTAGGGAGGCCCTAACATTTTTATGTCCTGCTCCTTTGGAGGGTTCATCCCACACTTCCATCCCCTGAAATGTCGCAGCTCTTCTGACGGTGCTGGGGGTCTCATTCCCCTTTGTGGCTGCCCATCTTCAAGCTGTGGCACCAGTGGGTCACTGCCATGCTGCCTGCAACACTGTGGGTAGGACCCACATGGTCCTGTGGTGCCTGTACGGCTTGAGTGCAGGCCACATCTACAGGACATTTGAGGGTAGCCAGACCCCATGGGGACCCCACCTACAATTCTGGGCTCCCTGAGAAGTTCCCTAGATGCTGGGATCTACATGAGGCATAGGGGTTCTCTGGGTCTGACCCTGGTTGACTCTCACAGGACAGAGGGCAAGCCGGGCTGGGCCAGTCCAGGAGTGAGGGCAGGAACAGATTGCCAGTAGGGTGGGCTGGACACCTTTGGCTGGGGATGGGCCAGGAGGATGGAGGTGGGGTGATGTGAAGGCTGGATGGAAGAGATGAGGTTAGAGATGGGCCATAGGCACAGATGCAATTCTAGAGAACAGTGGGCATGGCCTGGCATGGGATGGGGTGTGGAGGAAGGAGGGGGGCCACTGCATAGCTTTTCACTCCCTAGCAGGGTGAGAGGGAAGAGCAGCAGGTGAGGTGTCACTGTCTAGTGTGGGCAGTGTGTCCTCCTCAGCCACCTTCACAAGCACTCCCCTAAGGTGCAGAAACAGGTTTGTAATTCTTGTTTCAGGCACAACTTTTTGTCTTGACTATTGGTATTTTTAGAAATTCTCTTCTGTTTCCTCCTTCCTTGGAAGAGACAATTTGGAAGACTCAGGCCCATGAGAGTCCCTTGTATATTCCCTTTTGCCTGCAGGTTGGTGGCCATGACTGTCACAGGGGAGCCTGAGAGGCCTGGTGGCAGCTTTCTGGCCCTGGTACTGGCCAGGTCCTCGGGCACCGTGGATGTTCAGTACCTGAAGAAGCAGTGGGCAGCCACCCAGGTGGAGGAGATCCAGTGGCTGCGCCTGTTCCTGCAGGAGGCCCCCACGGAGCGAGGCCACGGAGGGTGTGGGCATGTCACGAAGGCTATGTGTGTGTAGCACCCAGAGTGAATCCTACATCTGCGTTCATTGTTCTGTATATAGAATATGTATGTCCTGTACATAATTTCCTTTACAGAAGATTACTTCAGTGTTCCCAATCATTATTTTTGAATAGAAATGAACATTTTTATACATACTAAACTTTAGAGGAAATTCTGAGTCATGTCTGGTATACTCTTTTCTGAGAGTATTTCTGCCTATTTTTAGAAGGGCTTTAAAATATTGTCACATTTATTATTAGATTTTCAAACAACCCACCATAAAAATGTATTTTAATGGACTATTTTCTTATTCATGCATAAAATGATAATTAAAGGGAATTACTCCACTGAAATGACCTCTGCCAGTTGTGCTTACTTAAAGCTCTTCTTGAGCATTGACCATTTAAATGTCATCCACAGAGCAGAGTCAGACACATTTAATGTTATGCTTTAGTGTGCTATCTTTGTTTTTTTTTTTTCTCATTGAGTTTATTGGTACATTTTAGGTATACAGTGCAGTTGCATTCATCATTGGGATCTTATACCTTTACATGTCATGTCTTGGTTCTCATTTTTTCCCCTTGTCCCTGCTCTCTCTTCACCCCCTCCTACCCTCCCTATTTACAAACACTTTATTTCCATTTTCTCATATTTTTTTCTTTTCCCTTATTACCTTTCCCCTACCCTTCCCACTTTCCCTACACCTTTAGCCTTTTTCTTCCTATTTCACATGGTCAGTTATCTCATTAGGATCTTATATACTATTATAGTTTTTCACACCAGAGAAACTGTTCGGTATTTACACATGTGTGACTTGTTTATGTCACTTAGGAATATATCCTCAATATGTATCCATTTTCCTATGAATGAATCTAATTTCTCATTCTTTATGGCTGAGTAATATTCCATTTTATAGAAAAAGCACATCTTTATCCAGTCTCCAACTGATGGGCAAATGGGCTGTTTCCAAGTTTTAGCTATTACAAACTGTGCCGCTATAAACATGGGTGCGCATACATCACTGTGATATGGTTCTTTTAATTCTTTTGGAAAGATACCCAGCAGAGGGATGGCTGGGTCAAATGGAACCTCTAGCCCCAGATCTTTGAGGTATCTCCATATTGATTTCCATAGTGGTTGCACCAGTCTGCACTCCCACCAACAATGGAGAAAGGTTCCTTTCTCCCCACAACCCCGCCAACATTTGTTATTGGTTGTTTACTTGGTAGTAGCCATTCTTTGTGGTGTGAGGTGGAATCTCAGTGTTGTTTTCTTTTCTTTTTTTTTTTTTCAGCTTTAATTGAGTTTATTGGTACATTTTAGGGATACAGTACAGTTACATTCATTGTTCGGTTCTTGTACCTCTACATGACAAGTCTTGATTCTCATTTTTCCCCTTACCCCTTTCCTCCCTTCACCCCCTCCTCCCCTCCCCATCTACAAACACTTTATTTCCATCTTTTCATTATCTCACATTTTTTTCTTTTCCCTTTTTACCCTTCCCCTACCCATCCCACCTTCCCTACACCTTTAGCCCTTTTCTTCCCATTTCTCAATGTCAGTAATCTTATTAGGATCTTCTGTATTATTGCAGATTATTGACACCAGAGAAACTATTCGGTATTTACACATGTGTGACTTATTTATTTCACTTAGGAGTATATCTTGAATATGTATCCATTTTCCTATGAATGAATCTATTTTCTCGTTCTTTATGGCTAACATTCCATTTTCAGTGTTGTTTTCATCTGCATCTCTCAAATGACCAGTGATGTGGAACATTTTTTCATATATTTACTTGCTGCTTTTACTTCTTTGAGAAATGACTGTTCATTTCAGTTGCCCATTTTTGAATCGGGTCTTTATATTTGGGGGGGCTGATTGTTTTGAGTTCTTTATATATTCTAGATAATAGTCTTTTGTCTGAGGAGCAGCTGGTAAAAATTTTTTCCCACATTGTAGGTTGTCTTTTAGTTCCGTTGCTGGTTTCTTTTGCAGTGCAGAAGGTTTTTAATAAGATGAGATACCAGTTGTTGATTCTTTCTGCTAGTTCCCATGCTACTGAGGATTTGTTCACAGTCTTTTCCTATGCCACTGTCTTCAAGAGTTCTGCTTAACTTATCTTCCAGCAAGTTTAGTATTTCTTTTTTAATATTTAGCTCTTTAATCCACTTCAGTTTTAGTTTAGTACATGGTGACAGATAAGGGTCTAGTTTTAATCTTTGGCAGGTTGAGATCCAGTTTTTCCAACACCATTTATTAAAGAGGCTGTCTTGCCTCCAGTGGGGACAGTCAGCTCCTTTGTCAAAGATGAGGTAGCTGAGTACATCTGGAGTTGTTTTTGTGTCTTCCAGTCTGTTCCACTTATCCTCAGGTCTGTTTCTTTGCCAGTACCATGCTGTTTTTATCACAGTGGCTTTGTAGTATAGTTTCAAATTGGGAATTGTTATACCCACTGCCACGTGTCTGTTCCTAGGATAGCTTTTGCTATTCTAGGACTCTTCTGGTTCCAAATGAATTTTTGGATTATTTTTTCTAGTTCTGTGAAATATAGTGTTGGAATGTCAATCAGCATTGCATTGAATCTTTATATCAGTTTTGGTAGTATGGCCATTTTCACTATGTTGATTCTTCCTACCCAAGAGCAGGGGATATCTTTCCATTTTCTTCTATCCTCTTCCATCTCTTTTTTCAGAGTGCTGTAGTTTTTAGTGTAGAGATCTTTTGCTTCTTTTTTTAGATTGATTCCTAGATACTTCATGTTTTTGGATGTTATCGTGAAGGGAATTGTTTCCCAAGTTTCTCTCTCAGTGAGTCTGTTATTTGTGTATAAGAAGGCTATTGATTTTTGAGTGTTGATCTTGTATCCAGCTACTCTGCTGAAAGTGTCAATTAAGTCTAGAAGTCTTTCAGTGGAATTTTTTGGGTCTTCAATGTAGAGTGTCATATCGTCAGCAAATAATGATGGTTTAACTTCTTCCTTTCCTATCTTTATTGCTTTAATTTCTTTCTCTTGTCTAATTGGTGTGGCTAATGTTTCCAGAGCTATATTGAAGAGCAGTGGTGATAGTGGGAATCCTTGTCTTGTTCCTGATTTTAATGAGTACTATCTTTGTATAGGAATAATACATGTAAATACTCTTGAGTGTTACATCTCCGATGTAGGGATAGAAGGTGCCTTGGTCCATCTGTGCTGCTGTAGCAAAATGCCTCAGTTAGGTAAGTTATAGGGGCCAGAGTTGGTTCTTCTCAGTTCTGGAGACTGTGAAGCCTAATGCTGGGGTTCTGGTGTGGCTGCTGTCAGACTCCAGGGATGGCACTGTGCTGCTGAGGCCTCATAACTTGGAGGAACGGACACAGTGGGCCAGAGTGCTCTGTCTGCCTCCTCCACAAGGACATAGAAACACCCGTGAGGTCTCTGCCTTCCAAGAGGCCCATTTTCCAACACTACTATCTCAGGGTTCTAGTCCCAACCTGTGACTTTGGAGGGACACAGACACCCAAACCTCAGCTGGAGCAGAGGAGGGTAGTTCCCACCCCAATGCCCTGCTGAGAGATCAGTGAGGAATGCAGGGCCATGTTTACACCTGATGGTCACAGAAAAGCTTCTCTTGCCCGGATACAGCTGGAGTACCTCTGGGCCTTGGGAAGCTCCAGCCAGGCCTCAGCCAACACTGAGAGTGGCACTGATACGGGGACACAGTCCTCACTCCAGGGAGAGCATGCTCAGGCCCCCACAGTCTCTATCCTATTACCCCATAAGTTGACAGTCTGTTTCCTTTTACATTATATTGATTTAAAGCTATCAAAGCCTATGAAAACTACTGCACTAGAATGGTACAGACAATAGCCTCCTTTCCTAGTACAACCTGGGCATGGTCTCATGCCTAGACCTGTCTGCACACATGTGCAGAGCAAACACTGATCTGTCGCGGTACTTGCTGAAGACTGGCACATGGCAGCAGTAGTTGATTTGCTTCTGTCCACCAGGAAAGTCTGAGTTTCATCCGTGCTGCTGGTCACTGGATCCCAAGAGGCAGGGAAAAACCTGTGTGGTGAAAAAACATGCAAAATGAAGCCTGTGGTTAGGATGGTGCTTCAGGCCTGGTATGCAATAGCTACTTCATCACCTGTATAGAGGCCTGGGGTCCTCATTTTCCTTTTATACTTCCTGCTGACACCACCTTTCTTAGTTACTTTCCAGTTGCTAAGACACTATAGATACTCAATATCTGCAAAGGAAAGGAGGAGAAGTTTATTTGGGATTGTATTTTCAGAGCACTCAGTCCCTGATCAGCTGGCTGCATGGCAGCAAAGCTTGTTAGAAAGACCTGGGTGCAGAAAAGCTGATCACATCGTGGAAGCCAGGAAGCAGAGAGAACAGGGAGGAACTAGGGAGGGAGATTCACACTTTTAGGTCATGGTCCAGTGACTTTTCTCCAACCAGTGGCGAGTTAGCTGTGAAAGTGGACTAATGATGAGTGCTATGCCTTCATGATCCAGTCACCTTCCAAACACATGGGACTTGGGGACACCCAAGATCTAAACCATACCACCATCCTTGGGGCTGTTTTTCCTTTGTGACCTACTTGATCACTGGTCTAGAAGAGACACACTTTGACCTGTGGCAATGTGCTAGAAGGGGATGACATTGGGAGCAGGCTCCCTTTCTCCAGGTGTGGTTGGTCTATAATTACTGGCTCTGTCCACCTTGCTGGGTTGGAAGCTTTCTGGGTAATGTAGCTGTCTCCTCGCTGTTGTCCTCCAGGCCTGGTCTCTGCTCAGGAATACGCACAGGAGGCAGAGAGGGAGGCGAGGTCTGTTAAGCTTTGGCTAACACAGGACAGAATCACACCAGGGCACATTCATGATGATGTTATGCAAGGTTCTAGTCCTGGTAACCTGGAAACCAGGTAACTGTTTCCCTCCCTAACTTGCACCTCCCCAGGCCCTTGAGTGGTCCCTCACCCCAGAGAGGTCTAATCATGACTTCCTGGTTGTGGTTCATGGCCGCTGTCAACTCAAACATTTAACTGTTGGGGACTTTCAGAATAACATGACAGATAGTTAATGGCTTTATGAGTTCTAAATTCATACTGAAGTGCTCAGGAAGACCTAAGGAATCGTCCAAGTATTGTGGCCAAAGATGATTCCAGTATTTGAAGTACTCTTTGCTTGAAAATCCTGAATGCCTAGAACCTAAGCAGCCCTGTTTGTGGTTCCAGTTCTGGTTCTCCTGCTCATAGCTCAGTGTAGCTCAGTGCTCAGAAC